GAGCCTTATGATGGCCGGGTATGTTTTTTACCGAGCCTATTATGGCCGGGTACGATATGATGATCATGATTCCCACAGAGGTAAATGTTTTAAAGGTTTATGTATTTATACATATGTATCATGCATTTCATGTCAGTAGCCCTCAGAGGTACTAAGATGTTACAGGTTGTATATTCTCTATCCTTGCTTACATTACTTATCGTATTTATGGTTCCCGGTCTTATATACTCAGTACTTTATTCGTACTGACGTCCTTTTATTTGTGGACGCTGCATGTCGTGCTGCAGGTCCTGATAGACAGGCAGGTGCAGCTCCCCCACCACAGTAGACTGTCCAGTTCAGCGGTGATTGGCGAGATCCCTTCTCCGGACTTGCCTTGGTCTTGGTATGCAATTTTTGTTATAGACATTATGGGTATGTCGGGGCCCTGTTCTAGCTATGTTGCAGCACTTATGTTCATTTAGAGGCTCATAGACAAGTGCCGACTCATGTATAGTTTGGTATGCCTTGTCGGCTGGTTTTTGTTATATAGTCTTTCATGGTAGCGTGGTAGCTCATACCTTATATGTAGTTTCTTGATTGTCTAGTCATCCCCTGCTATGTATGTTCATGCCGTCATATTTTATTGTTGGTTGTCCATGATCCAGGTCTACCATTTATATTGATCTCGTCAGCCCTAAAAGATAATAATGAAGGTTAGATGAAATGTACGTTGGTGCTCGGCAAGTATGGTCGGGTGCTAGTCATGGCCCTCCAGTTTGGGTTGTGACAAAAATAATTCATGATGAAAGGGTTCAAAATTACAACTTTTGGAATCAGATCTTTTGGCCAAATTAAAGCTTCTGGCCTAGTTTCTTGGAGTCTGGGAATTTTTTTTTTGGATTTTTGCTTTGATGGGACCGAACCTCGGAGTATGGCTACCTACGTATCCTTAAAAAGAATCAGGTCGAACGTAGTTCTAACACAAAGTTGGTTTTTTTTTTCTTTTTCTTTTCCTTTTCTTTCTTTTTCTTTTTTTTTCCTTTTCTTTTCTTTTCTTTTTCTTCCTTTTCTCTTTTCATTTTCTTTTCTAGTTCCTAACTCTACTTCTGATTCCAAAAGAGGGGTATAGAACAAAACAAATTAAGGCTCAAAAGGGGTAGCAAAAGATAAAAGTGTTTGGGTAGTAGAATAAAATACCTTCGTCATACCAAACTTTAAAAATGCCAAGTACAAATGTACAATTGAAGATAAGCAAAGAAATCATACACAGTATCTATTGATGGCATCAACACAAACACAAAGTGCCGACGGGCAATACCTTTGTCCCAATGAATGATCCTTTCCAGTTCGAAGCAGACTTGATTCAAACTTATCTTGATGTGGAAGAATGCATTTTAGAACTGACTGATCTACCTTAAACTACTTGAGAGACATTCCCTTGTTGTATGCTCTCATCAACCTCTTGATTTTTCAGACTAACTTCCTTAGTTTCACTCAATTCAAGCTTCAGGTTATCTCAGAATGCGTGAATCTTTACTTGTTTCCTCAAATGCCTTCTTTTATCATATTCAAAACCGTGTCATTGCTTCATGATTAGACTAAATTTCAAGACCATACTGAGAATTATACGTGCATGTCATGTCACTAGAGTCAGGATGAAAATAACTATAAAAGGAAAAGTAAATCTAAACAAAAACTTAATAGAAAATAGGAGATTGCATTAGACAGATGGTAAAAAGGGTTTGAACAAAACAAGAAAAATAGACATGGGTTACAACCCTGGAACAATCCTAGATAATACTAAATGGGTTACTACCACTAAACGAACTGGGCAAAATAAGAAGAAGAAGAAGGGTTTGGGCCACAAGACAATATCCGGATTACAACCTTGAAATAACCTGGACAACAAATATGACAACAAAATAAACCACCAAAACTCCTCCCTGTCTAGCTAAGAAAAGAGTATCTTTCCAATTACTAAGATCGACATCTTAGCCACTGCATTCCACATCAATATTACCAAAACCACCACAAGCCTCCATCACGTTGACCTTAGCAGATAGTTGTTGGGTCCCTTTTGCCAACTTGTTCTTAAGATCAACCTTTGGAATCGAGACTGATAGCCCTGAAAACTTTGCGGTAAGTGGCCCTCCAAGAGATTCAGAAGTGTCCTTATATTCCTTTTCCGCACAAATCATGCCCACCACATACATCTCATTATGAACAGGCAATGGACTTTGGCTAGTATCTGTTGCTTTTGGATTTGCACGGTAATGTCACCTGCATCAATAAGCTTCTGGACTGCTCTTTTCAGATGCCAACATTTTTCAATGTCGTGCCCCGTGGAATTAAAGCAATATGCGCACCTTTGAGAAAAATCGAAACTCTTTAGAAAACGTTTTGGCATTTTTATCTGAATCAACTTCAACATGTCCAATCGCGTTAGCCTTTGGAATAGACTAGCATATGATTCTCCAATAAGAGTGAAAGACTTTTTTCTTTGTTGTTGCCTTCTCATTTTGTACTCCGGCCTTGGTTGGAACCTCTTTCGGGTAGGTGGCTGATATGCTTGTAGAGGTAGATAAGACATTTGTGGAGGCGGTGCAAGCCGTTGCAGATGTTGTGGATGTGGAGCATATGGCGGTGCATTATGGATAGAGTACCGAGAAGGTGAGGTATGACTTTAGGGATTTTGGGGAGGAAAGTAACATTGGGGAGGATTATCTAGAGTACGAGGATATTCATGGGGTCGGTATTGAGGCTGAAAGCATTTAGCAGGAATGTCCACTGGATCCTGTCGTTGGCGGGGATCAGCAACATCTTTTCTATCAATGGGAGAACTGACTCAAGCAACTTGTTCATTCCATCTGAGCCAAAACTCCCTAAAACTTCCCTCCGGTTTCTTTTCAATCTGAGATAGGGAGGAGCGGTCTGGGGTAACATTTACATTGTACTGATAGTGTCGGACAAAATCTTGATCCATGTCACCCCATGCATGCCACTTACTGATATTTTGACGAGTATACCACTCCAAGACTTCCCCACTCAAACTCTCACTGAAATATTCCATCAACAATTCATCTTTCCCGCAAACACTTCTCATTTCACTGCAATAACCCCTCAGATGGGATACTGGATCTCCACACCCACCATACAATCAAACGTTGGCATCTTAAATCCAGCGGGTAGTTGGACGTCAGGAAACAAGCACAAGTCTTTGTAAGACACGCTCACCTGGTTCCCTATCCCTTGCATATTTCTTAAAGACTGCTCTAAGATTTTCACCTTCCTGGATATCTCATCTTGTTCCACTGTCTTAGTAGGCTTTTCAGTTTCACCGGGAGGCTCAAAATGAGGAGCGTAAGAGTATGGATCCGAGACCTTAGAAGTTGGTTCTGGAGCATAGTATTGGGCATCGGGGACTTTGAACACGGTCTCGCTATAAGATCGAGTAAGGGTAGCTTGTGGAGGAGCTACAAAAGCATGAGTGATTAAAGGAGCGGGATATGAGGTGGTTTTGGCAGGTGGATTGTGAAAAGGTTGTGGGGAGATATCATCAGCAGTGGAAATCTTGGTTTGTGACAATGGCAGAATGGTGACGAGGCTTTCAGTGTAATTAGTGGAAAATAATGGTGGAGGACGCCCACTAATCTAGACTTGGTATATTTCGGCTATCTATCCTTTCAACTTTAGGACCTCTTCTTTCAACTCAGATTCTGATTCAACAATCTCCTTAGGCGAATTGACAACACCTGTGTCCAAGTCTTTACTAGTTATGACTACCTTGCTCTTTGACCTTGTGTTGTATGGATGACTCACTAGAATGCCACAAACTAACCACCTTCTGTTATGATAACAATTAAAGTACCAAAGAGGAGCAAAACAAAGCCAACATGTTAGCGTTAGGGCATTTATCAGATAGAAATATCACATTGTGTGCAATGCACCTAGCAACAATTAACGGTTCTAGAATGACTTCGAGGGTCACGAGGTCTTTGGCATCATCCCAACTTTGTTCATTTTAATCTTCCCTTTTCTTTCTTTTCTAGCACTTCTTGGCTTACTCATTTTCTTTCCTCTCTTGTCTTTATGATTATCGCTCTTTTCTTGCATCCCGCAGTTTCCTCTCATTTTCATATCCCACAACTTCTTCTTTTTTTTTAATTTTAAAAATGAATTGGTTGAACCCTATGTAGATTGCCTCCGTATCATGTTCCACATGAATCAGACCAAGCGTAGTTCTGAAAAAATGATGGATAAAATAAACTAAAAATAAAAAAATGGATTTTTCATTTAATTTTTTTGTTTGGTTGTTCAAATACAAAATGGGAAGTAATATAACAAAAGACACGATATTACTGTACAAGACTAGAAAGTAAAAGACAACATGAATGACAGACTCAAAACATAAAAGTATCTTTAAGCAGCTCCTGAATGCAGTGGTCCTGGGGTATTTGTCATGCTCGAGCTATGGTACACTGATCCATACCTGAATGAGAAAAATAAGACGAAACAGAGTTAGCAACTCAAGACACTATGCGACGCCACAACACCTCCTAGACACATGCAAGACACGATTGGGCTGTTTGTGAAAATTAACCTATGTGGCCAAGAGTGGCTAGAAGTGTAAACTCAACAAGATTGGCCTCATAGACATGGAAAATGCCTCACTAAGGTTTATGTGGATTCAAACTTCCAATATCATGGCCGAAAATTAATTTGCAGAAATGTCCATTTTGCAAAAATGACCGATATGGCCAGAAGTGGCTAAAGATGCAAACTCAAAAGGAAGGACCTTAAGGTAGTAGGACACTTAGTTGCGAACTCAGGATTCTGAGACATGTCTCAATGAACCACTTTTGCAAAAATGACCCCATTTTGCAAGAATGGCCGATATGGCCAAAAGTGGTAGACATGAAAATTCAACAGGAATGGACCTTAAAACTGAAAGGACACCTTGTTGTAGACACAAGGCTCTAAGATATGGGATAGCAAACTATTTTTAGAGAATAGCCCTATTCTGCAAAAAACGGCCGATATGGCCAAATGTTGCTAAACATGCAAGATTTGGCTAAGACCCCGCGAAGCCAAGAACCTAAGACTCACTAGTAAGACCGGACCCTATGTAGGTTACCTACTTTTCCCGCCCCGAAAAACGAGAATCAGGTATGCGTAGTTCGGAAAGATTGGACATAGGAGAAAGCTTTTTTTTAAAAAAGGAACTAATTTGGAAAAACTATATTTTTGTATTTTTGAAAAATGATGGAAAATGTAAAATCTTTTTCGATTTTTTTTTTTTTGATTTTTTGAAAATGATGGGAAAGTGCAAAATTGTTTTTTGGATTTTTCATTTTTTTTGGTATTTTTTGGCTTTTCTTATTTTTTCCTTGAAAAAGTTGTAAAAGAAGAAAAATAATTGTGTCCTACTTGCTTCATTTTAACACTTCACCCTCTTTTCTTTCTCATTTACCCTCAACCATCATTGGTCCACCAAATGACCATTTTACCCTTAAAGAATGCAATATGTAGTATAGGGATGATTAAATGTCTTTTTGGGCCATGGGCCCGTTTGGACATAATTTGGATAGGCCTCCTATAAAGGAACACGGTGCTTGGGACATAGCCCTGCTAGGTCTAAATGATATGATGCAAATAAAAATGACTTAAAGGCTGACCTAAGTTTGGGGTTCACTAACAAGGCAATTTGGGGGAGCGTATGGTCGATGGTGGCTGCTCAAGCTTTCCACCCATTTCATACGTCTGACGCCCCTCCCCCCTCCCCCTCCTAAAATAAGGGTGACTCAACAAAGAGTTTGTGTACATGATGCGTACTCCGAGACTTGTTGCAGAAAGAACTGACCCATGGTTATGCAAATGATGACAGTTATAAAGCGGTAAACACATAAGGAAAAGCTATCTATAAATAACCAACAAAACAAGAAATACGACAAACAAACTAGACAAACAAAGCAAATAAAGAAAACAAATACCTCAATTGAATATCCTAAAAGCCAACAAGAACAAGTATCAGCTTGAACCTGCAACTCCCCAGTAGAGTCGCCAGAGCTGTCAGACCCCTTTTTTACAACTCCACTAAACCCTCTTAAAATAATAAAAGTGATTTTAGAAGATCAAAAGGTTTTCAAAATTGAAAGTGACAAAACATTGTGTTCAAAAGGATTTTTTTCAGAGTCTACGCCTGACATAGGTTTTGGTGTGCCAGGTCACCGTTTTTTTAAAAAAAGATTTTTTCCTTTTAAAACCACTTTGGACTCAAAAACTAAGTCTATGCCAGAGATTCGGGTATGGGGGTTCATTTGACTCGGGGAGAATGTGTTAGGCATTCCCCGAGTCCCGTAACTAGTACGGTTGCATACTCGATCTAGTTGGCTTTTAAAATATTCAAATTGAGGTTAAAACACAGAAAAAGGAAAGTAAACACAAAAGTGGCTCGAGGTCGTCCCGACCTAAATAAAAAAGATAAAAATAAAAATTAAATAAGAATAAAAATACTTCAAGTTCGCTTTCAGCCTCCAATTACAGAATACTACGGGGCATTCCTCGGAATAAAATACATACAAATCTTTCGAGGCATTCCTCGTATAAATTTAACTAAGGGAATGACACCTCACCTCAACACTAACAAAAGTCCTAAGGCTTGCCTACCCAAGTATTGACGGCTAATCATGTTACTAATGAGTAATTAAGAAAAGGTAAATGTAAAAAGTAAAAGAAAACCAAGTAGGAAAATTCATAGCACACTCAGTTTCTGTTAATTTTTATTTCATGTATCTAATCCAAACCAACTCCTAAATATGTAAGCAAATTAATACTAATTGGCCCAAGTCTTTACCCCAACTCCCATATCATTATATTTCATCAAACTCCAACTTGTTATTAACTGAAAACAAGAATTATCACCAAACAGAATCAATCCAAACACAAATACCCTTAATTTCATTCACTGTCGTGATTTACTTTATGCTCTCGATGAATCTTAACCCAAAATTATTAAGCCAAACATATCATGTGTTCATCATTCTAAAAACTAACCAACTAATTCATTTATGTTCTATCTAATGTATCATATTCAAACTGAGCATCAACAAATCAAATTAAGATATAGTTTTAAACAAAACACAAAATAACCGAACACTCATAGGGCAGTCATAATATCAAAAAAAAGGAACACAGAGAAAAGATTAAATTCAAGGTAAAAACAGACCTCGAGCAGCCACACTTTCAAATTAATCGACAGAATCTCAGGCTCGGATGACTCAGAAAATCGAGTATTTGTTCAATAAATGACTAGAGATTGGACCCGCGAACAAAATCTAAAACAGAAACCTCGCCGAAAACCTCATCGAACTCTGACCGGATTGCCTCGCTTATGACTAAAAATGACGGTTTGTCTCCACAGATTCGTGAAATTGCTATTCAAAATGAGTGATGCAGTGTTAGCAATTTCTTCTCCTAATCTCTCCTCTTTGTTCGTGCCCTCTCAGCCCATTTTTTTCTCTGTTCTCTAAGGTCTGTCCGTATTTCAGCTATGTCCCTATGTGCAAGTGAGGTGCGGCAGCGCTGGAATGGTGGCTAGGTGAAAGGGGTCTGCCGCTGGTTTGATTTTGTGGTGAGGGTGGCCGCTTGTGTATGGCGAGGGGTGTGGTGGTTTTGGAGAAGAGGAGGTCGACGACGGAATTTGTGAAGCTTACGGCTGATTTGGGTGGTGAAGAGGGGTGGGGGACGGCTGTGTTCAGGCGATGGTTGCTGCTCTTAGGTTGACTTCCATTTTTGGGGGTCTGTTCTTCGCTGGTCATTGTTTTCCAATGAGGGTGGTGCGACTGCTTTGGTTTTGGGGTCTTAAGGTTAGGTCTATTTTGAAGGGTGTCTTCTAGGTCTAAGAAAGAAGAAATGTTTAGGTTTTTTATCTCTTTAAGAGAAATGGGGTACGGGCTAACAAGATTTGGGCTTAGATGGCTTTTGGGTTTTGGGTTGGGTCTATGTATTGTTGGATTAAAATTGAGCTAAAAACTAAAATTTATAAACTATAGACCCAAATCCAATTCTTCTTGTACAATAGTATAAAGCACCTATAAAAATGTAAATCACTCCTAATTAATTAAAATAAACTATTAAAGATAACCCTAAAATGAAACGGTTTTTGGTATTTTTTCAAGATTATGTAAAAATAAAAATTCTAGTAAAATAGTATGACTACAAAACATTAATAAAACTATTTTTTATAATTTTTATATTTTGTGATAAAATAAAGTAAAAGAGTCAAAACTAGTTAAAATAGTAATATTAAACCTAAACTAACTATTTAAACGCAATAAATGTGTAAAATCTCGAGGAGGGTAAAAATTTACATGTCTACAATAGCTAAGTTGACAATAAACATAAATCAGTTAGCCAAAGTACAGCTTCAACAGATTCAGGGACCAAAGCAAGTAAACGCAATGGAAGGGGTTAATCTATTGGTAAACAAGAGGAGACAGTCTGGTCAACAAATGCAAAGCAATCAAGATCAATATGAGCAAGGTAGTAGTGGTTACCACCAAGATGATGGGTATGGTGAGAAAAGTGAAGAGGTTTTGTATGCCAACAACTATCAAGGACAACGGGGTAATGCTCCAAATCAACAATGGATATCGCAAGGGAATAATCATAATTGGGGCAACCAAGGCCAAGGAAATTGGAACAATAACAACAACAACTCCAACAATTGGGGAAACAACAACCAGAATTGGGGTAATAATAGCAATTGGGGTGGAAACAACAACCAAGGGGGTTGGATAACGGTAATCAAGGTAATTGGGGGACGGGTTTTCAAAGGCCTCCAATGTTTCAACAACCAAACAATCCGCCTTCATTTCCGTCCCAAGGTCCTAGCTCGTCTAACAATAAGATGGGAAGGATTGAGTCAATGTTTGAGCAAATGATAAAGAAAAATGCCGACTCTGATGCCCAATTGTCATCCCATAATACTTCTATCCGCAATCTGGAGGTCCAACTTGGCCATATTTTGCAAACTTTGAACACTCGCCCTAAGGGGATACCTAGTGACATGGTAGTAAAGACAAAGGGTGGGAACAATACCGGCCATGCAATGGCGGTGACCACAAGGAGAGATAGAGGTGGTGAAGCAAGTACCTCAAAGCAAAAGAAAGTTACGAGTGAAGATGTTGAAGTGCAAAATAATGATGATCCAATAGTTGATGAGCAAGTGAGTGAAGAGAAGTTGTATGGTGAGGTGAGAGTTGATATTCACGACAATGAGGAGGAGACTCAAAATGACGTGAACCCGTCTAGGGAACACGTGATAGACATACCGGAAATGGTAATGCCTAAACCCAACGCTCCTTTGCCAAGACCTCCTCCACCTTACCCTCAAAGACTTGCAAAGTAGAAGAATGAAAACCAGTTCAAGAAGTTTATTGAGATGATGAAGAGTTTGTCGATCAATGTGCCCTTGGTGGAAGCTCTTGAACAAATGCTGGGATATGCCAAATCTATGAAAGACGTGGTAACTAAAGAGATCTATGGCTTTTGGGACCATCAAAATGACTCATCAAGCGAGTGTCATTGTGCACTCGATGGCTCCAAAGCTTGAAGATCCCGGTGCATTTGTCATTCCATGTACCATTGGGAGTGTGGATTTTGCAAAGGCCATGTGTGATTTGGGAGCAAGTATAAATTTGATGCCTTACTCTGTATTCAATACTTTGGGTATTGTTTAACCGAGAGCTACTTCAATGAGATTTCAAATGGCGGATCGAACAATGAAGACGCCGCTGGGTATTATTGATGATGTTCTTGTGCGGGTCAACAAGTTCATACTTCCCATGGATTTTGTGATTCTCGACTGCGAAGTCGACTAAGAGGTGCTGATAATATTGGGAAGGTCTTTCCTAGCAACAAGGAAAGCATTGGTTGATGTGGAAGCAGGGGAGCTTACCTTCCGGGTGGGTGACAAAAAAGTTGTCTTCCACGTGTGCAAATCAATGACTCAGCCGAATAGTACTGAGGTTTGTTCTTTTATGGACTTATGACGGAGGTGATAGTTGATGACACGAGTGACATGTTCAATGTAGAGGATCCTTTGGAAGCTGTATTGTTGAACCATGATGTGACTAAGGATGAAGGCTTGGTAGAGTATGTCAATGCCTTGCAAGGAATGGGTTCTTACTCCTATGAGCCCCGTAAACTTTCCTTGGATCTTGAGAACAGAAAGCCTCCACCAACAAAGCCCCCAATCGAGGAACCTCCCGTAGTGGAGTTGAAGACTTTGCCTCCACACCTAAGGTATGAATTCTTGGGCCCTTGTTCAACTTTGCATGTTATTCTTTCTTCGTACTTAACTAACGTGCAGGTAGATGCCACCCTTGAGGTGCTCCAAAGAAGAAAGAAGGCAATTGGATGGACTCTAGCTGATATTCGGGGATAATCCCCGCCTTTTGCATGCATAAGATTATACTTGAGGATGATGCCAAACCCTCCGTGGAACATCAAAGGAGGTTGAATATTATGCAAGAGGTCGTCAAGAAGGAAGTTATCAAGTGGCTAGATGCAGGGGTTTTGTACCCCATCTCAGATAGTTCATGGACTTCACCGGTACAATGTGTGCCAAAAATAGGGGATGTGACTGTGGTCACAAATGAGCAAAATGAGTTGATCCCCACTAGGACTATCACCGGATAGAGAATATGCATGGACTACTGGAAGCTGAACAAAGTGACCGACAAAGATCATTTTCCATTGCCCTTTCTTGACCAAATGTTGGATAGACTTGCCGGGCATTACTACTTTTGCTTTTTGGATGGGTACTCAGGCTACAACCAAATTTTGATTGCATCGGAGGACTAGGAGAAAACCACCTTCACATGTTCGTATGGCACCTTTGCATTCTCACGCATGCCGTTTGGTTTGTGTAATGCACCGGCCACCTTTCAGTAGTGTATGATGGCTATATTTATGGACATGGTAGAGGACTTCTTGGAAGTGTTCATGGATGATTTTAGTGTTGTGGGTGACTCTTTTGAAGACTATTTGGGTAATCTTGACAAAGTGTTGGCCCGATGTGAAGAGACAAATCTTGTGCTTAATTGGAAAAAGTGCTACTTTATGGGCGAGGAGGGCATTGTACTCAGCCTTAAGGTCTCAAAGAACAATATTGAAGTGGACAAAGCGAAGATAAAAGTGATTTAAAAACTCCCTCCTCCTACTTCCATCAAAGGAGTGAGGAGTTTTCTTGGGCATGTGGGGTTCTACCGAAGGTTCATCAAGGACTTCTCAAAGGTGGTGAATCCCTTGTGCAAATTATTGGAAAAGGATGCAAAATTTGAGTTTAATGATGAGTGCATGAAAGCTTTTGAGCTTCTCAAGTATAGATTGACTACCACTCCCATCATTACCGCATCCAATTGGAGCTTTCCATTTGAGCTCATGTGTGGTGCTAGTGACGTTGTGGTAGGAGCGATTTTGGGGCAAAGGATCAACAAAATATTTCATCCAGTTTACTATGCAAGCAAAATGAAAAATGGTTCCCAAGTCAATTATACTGTGACCGAAAAAGAGTTATTAGCCATTGTCTTTGCCATGGAAAAGTTCAGGCCATATCTCCTGGGTACCAAAGTGATTGTGCACACCGATCACGTGGCACTCCATTATTTGATGACAAAGAAGGACTCTAAAGCTAGGTTGATGAGATGGGTTATTTTGCTTCAAGAGTTTGACCTTGAGATTATTGATCGAAAAGGGTGTGAAAATCAAGTGGCGGACCACTTGTCTCGCTGGGAGGAGGAGGGGAGGCCCCATGATGGCCTCGAAATTAATGATTCATTTCTGGATGAAAAACTCCTCTCGATTTCTTTGAATAGTATGCCTTGGTTCGCCGATGTGGCTAATTTTCTTGTGACCGATATTATCCTGAGTGAGCTCTCTTCAAACCAAAAGAGGAAGCTTAAACGGGACAGCTTGGATTATTACTGGGATGAGCCATATCTTTTCAAGATTTATAATGATGGTGTGACCCAGAGATGTGTTCCATAGGAGGAGCAAATGAGTATTCTTGATGCTTGCCATTCCTCGCCCTACGGTGGTCATCATGTAGGGCGAGAACTGCTTCAAAGGTTTTTAGCTGTGGCTTTTATTGGCCTACTCTGTATAAAGATGTTGGTGAGCTTATTAAGAGATGTGATGAGTGTCAGAGAGCTGGTGGAATTTCCAAGAAGGATGAAATGCCTCTCACCACTATTCTTGAGGTTGACGTTTTTGACGTGTGGGGCATAGACTTCATGGGGCCTTTTGTGAGTTCGTGTGGTAACACTTACATTTTAGTGGTCGTTGATTATGTTTCCAAGTGGGTTGAGGCCATGTCTTTTCCCAATAATGAAGCCCAGAGTGTGGTGGCATTTCTCAAGAAAAATATCTTCACACGGTTTGGCACTCCTCGGGCAATCATCAGTGAAGGGGTTCTCATTTCTGCAATAGGGCATTTGACACTTTGCTTGCAAAGTATGGTGTAAATCATAAGGTATCAACCCCTTATCATCCTCAGGCTAGTGGACAAGTTGAGGTCTCCAACAGGGAGATAAAGAGCATATTGTCAAAAACTGTCAATGCAAATAGGACTGGTTGGTCAAGAAAACTGGATGATGCTATGTGGGCTTACAAGACTGCTTACAAGACTCCAATTGGTATGTCTTCGTACCGGTTAGTATTTGAGAAAGCATGCATCTTCCGGATGAGTTAGATCATAAGGCCATATGGGCTTTGAAGTGGTTAAATCTTGAGTGGGATGTTACAACAAATCTCCAGCTAGAATAACTCAATGAACTTTATGAGTTTAGGTTTCATGCTTATTCCAGCTCTTCCTTGTATAAGGACAAGATGAAGT